CCGATAACTTCGGTTACAAAACATGATCATCTCATACAATAAAATATAGCATCACATCTTGACCATATCACATCACAACATGCCCTGCAAAAACAAGTTAGACGTCCTCTACTTTGTTGTTGCAAATTTTACGTGGCTGCTACGGGCTGAGCAAGAACCGTTCTTACCTACGCATCAAAACCACAACGATAGTTTGTCAAGTAGTGTTGTTTTAACCTTCGCAAGGACCGGGCGTAGCCACACTCGGTTCAACTAAAGTTGGAGAAACAGACACCCGCCAGCCACCTGTGTGCAAAGCACGTCGGTAGAACCAGTCTCGCGTAAGCGTACGCGTAATGTCGGTCCGGGCCGCTTCATACAACAATACCGCCAAACCAAAGTATGACATGATGGTAAGCAGTATGACTTGTATCGCCCACAACTCACTTGTGTTCTACTCGTGCATATAACATCTACGCATAAAACCTGACTCGGATGCCACTGTTGGGGAACGTAGTAATTTCAAAAAAAATCCTACGCACACGCAAGATCATGGTGGTGCATAGCAACGAGAGGGGAGAGTGTTGTCCACGTACCCTCGTAGACCGAAAGTGGAAGCGTTAGAACAATGTAGTTGATGTAGTCGTACATCTTCATGGCCCGACCGATCAAGCACCGAAACTACGGCACCTCCGAGTTCTAGCACACGTTCAGCTCGATGACGATCCCCGTACTCCGGTCCAGCAGAATGTCGGGGAAGAGTTCTGTCAGCACGACAGCGTGGTCATGATCTTGATGTTCTACCGTCACAGGGCTTCGCCTAAGCACCGCTACAATATTATCAAGGAGGACTACGGTGGAGGGGGGCACCGCACACGGCTAAAGATCAAGAGATCAATTGTTGTGTCTAGAGGTGCCCCCCTGCCCCCGTATATAAAGGAGCAAGGGGGGAGGGGGCAGCCGGCCTAGGAGGGGGCGCTCCAAGGGGAGTCCTACTCCCACCGGGAGTAGGACTCCCTCCTTCCTTGTTGGAGTAGGAGAAGGGGGGAAAGAGGAGGGAGAGAGAGGAAGGAAAGGGGGGCGCCGCCCCCCTCTCCTTGTCCTATTCGGACTAGGGGAGGGGCGCGCGGCCCAGCCCTTGCCTCCTCTTCTCTTCTCCACTAAGGCCCATGTAGGCCCATTAAGCCCCCGAGGGGGTTCCGGTAACCTCCCGGTACTCCGGTAAAATCTCGATTTCACCCGGAACACTTCTGACATCCAAATATAGGCTTCCAATATATCAATCTTCATGTCTCGACCATTTTGAGACTCCTCGTCATGTCCGTAATCACATTCGGGACTCCAAACAAACTTCGGTACGTCAAAACTCATAAACTCATAACATAACTGTCATCGAAACCTTAAGCGCGCGGACCCTACGGGTTCGAGAACTATGTAGACATGACCGAGAACCGTTTCCGGTCAATAACCAATAGCGGAACCTGGATGCTCATATTGGATCCTACATATTCTACGAAGATCTTTATCGGTCAAACCGCATAACAACATACGTTGTTCCCTTTGTCATCGGTATGTTACTTACCCGAGATTTGATCATCGGTATCTCAATACCTAGTTCAATCTCGTTACCGGCAAGTCTCTTTACTCGTTACGTAATGCATCATTCCATAACTAACTCATTAGCTACATTGCTTGCAAGGCTTATAGTGATGTGCATTATCGAGAGGGCCCAGAGATACCTCTCCGACAATCGGAGTGAATTAACCTAATCTCGAAATACGCCAACTCAACATGTACATTTGGAGACACCTGTAGAGCTCCTTTATAATCACCCAGTTACGTTGTGACGTTTGGTAGCACACAAAGTGTCCCTCCGGTAAACGGGAGTTGCATAATCTCATAGTTGTAGGAACATGTATAAGTCATGAAGAAAGCAATAGCAACATACTAAACGATCAAGTGCTAAGCTAACGGAATGGGCCATGTCAATCACATAATTCTCCTATTGATGTGATCCCGTTAATCAAATGACAAGTCATGTCTATGGTTAGGAAACATAACCATCTTTGATTAATGAGCTAGTCAAGTAGAGGCATACTAGTGACTTTAAATTTGTCTATGTATTCACACATGTATCATGTTTCCGGCTAATACAATTATAGCATGAATAATAAACATTTATCATGATATGAGGAAATAAATAATAACTTTATTATTGCCTCTAGGGCATATTTCCTTCACCAGGTAGGGCGCCGGAGCCAGTCCGTCCTACCTGGCAGATCGACCTCAACTCCGCCGAGGACGACGAGGACGATCTGCCGGCCCGCACGGCGATGAAGAAGAAGATGAAGGCCAGCGGCTCGACCAGCCTTTCCGCACGCCGGTGACGGCCGCCGTGGTCAGCCGGTGTCCATTCTGTACCCCCTTTCCCCCTATTCCCCTATCCCCCAATCCCTAAATCTACCGATCTTGCATGTATGAACTGCTATGTATGAACTGCTATGAACTAGTATGATTTACCCCTATGCTTAGCTACCTCTATTCCCCATTCCTGTCTGTCGTGGATCGAATATACCGTCGTGGATCGAATCTAGCATTCATGTGGAAGAGAGAGAAGTGCTTACCGCCATTGGGGAGTCCGGTGGTCTTCTTCCTCTGCTCCAATCCGCCGCTGCCGGTGATGGAGTCCGGTGGTCTTCTTCCTCTGCTCCGATCCGTCGCCGTCGGTGAGAGTTGGGAGAGTGGGGAAGAGTGGGGAGAGGGAGCGGTGAGGCTAATAACTGCCGGTGCTTCGGGAAGCAACGCGGCTTCTCGAGTGTGGCCGCGCGCGTGCAGCCGCGCCCGCCCACGTGCACCGCTCGGGCCTGGCCCTGGAGAAACTGCCGATTCGTGCGTTCCCAGTGAGCCAGGCCCTAAGGTGCTTTAAGAAGCGTGCGATGCAGGCCCAATAGTGTATGCGGGCTACCAAACAGGCCGAATCCTTCCCGCGCGGGCCTGGTTGGACCTCACACAGGCAACCAAACACGCCCTAGCAGTACAAAACATCGATGTCTCTGTACCACTGAACAACCGCTATTACGGTCACAACAAGCCGACGACGCGTTGCTCCCCTATCAGAGTCAGCTTGACCTGGCCTATAACAGCGGGGAATTCTTCGCAATCCAGCGTAGACATTATCAACAAATTTATAGTATGTCCCAACCACTCAGGCATCGACGCAGGATGTGTGTGACAAAGAGAACTTAAGAACATGAAAGCCAGCCTGTTCCCCAATTATTTTAGGATGCGAAGAAGACAGAAAAAAGTTCGGTAATCTTCTCCCTTTTGTAGGCATTCATCCAAGGCACTGATATTACGAGTCTCTTAATTATACGTGAAATAGGGAGTTCAAGGTCTTATTCGTCTTTCTTGGCTTATAAAGGGTTAAATCCTTTTTCTCTCAATATCATATTGAGGAAGAATATACATTTTGGTGATTTGTATCCAAAGACTAATTTAAATTGCATCCAAAATAAAAATTGGATTATCCAAAGACTAATTTCTCTCAGAGTCGCGAAGCATAATTTTGCATTGGATTAAGTATTCCAATTTTGAAAATATGAGTAAAGGATTTAGGATGAAGATACAAAAAGTTGCACGTGCCGCTAAGAATCAACACCATGCTCATCGTTGTTGGACCCTTTAATCGATCTCAAGAGCATGACACCAGATCTCACCATAGTGCACGCCCGGCGAGAAATTCTATCCTCGCCGCCCCAAGAGACGGTAGGAATCAAACCGGAGCTCCGTCAACTCCATCCAGATAGATGAATCTCGGGAAGTATCGGAGACCGAAAACCAACTCGAAGAAAAAGTGTCACCATCCGTCCGAGCATCGTCCCTGCGAAGACAAAAAAACTAACCTAAACTACTAGCAGGAGCCAAAGGCATTGGGATTCCCCTCCCACCACCAGCTATCGAGGTGGAAGAAAAGAGGGGGGAGAGGCAAATCCAAGGCTCCTCCGCGGAGATTCAAAGGGAAAAGTTTACCCTAGCCGCCTCTTATGAGGTGAAGGGAAAAAACACGCATACTAACTCAGGTGTTGACTTTTTTTTTCTTTGTTCACTTGAGGGGATTGTTTACCTTGGTCTCATATCTTACTTTAGGGACAGAGTTCATAACACGGCTCATCCATCTCTTGTTGAAGCCTATCTTTATCATCGTGTTCTTAAAGAAACCTTCGGCACCCACCCACCTTGCTCCCACCCTGCTTCATCTGTTGTGTGATGTGAATTGGCTTTACAAAGATGCACCTATTAGAGCTTGAGAAAAAGGAATTGCAGATATTGCAATCCTTACTGCAGGTCTTGGATCCGATTAAGCATATGATGAAGTTAATTTGAATGCCTCAACATGCGATTTCAGTACATGGCAGCTATTGGAATAAATACTGTGCAGAGATGCATGAAGTGAACTGTATCAAACGAAGGAATCACCACGGAAGGATGTGGCATTCAACCGTGGGAGCAACAGGCACAACCACAGCGCATGTGGAAACACTCTCAGGCCTGATCTTCAATTAAGGCTAGATGTTCTTCATGCTCTCCAGGTAAAACGATACTCTTAATCTCATGGAGATCATGGAAGAGAACAACCTGACTGAACTCATACACCATGTAAATAAGTTGACAAGTGTACTAGTGAATCAAAACTGCAGAGACAAAGTAAAGTTTCCCTGTTCTTGAAACATTCAAATAAAATGTTGCTCAGTCTTATAGGACAGACATGAGGTTAAAAAAAGATACAGAGCATGCTAAATATTAATAGTAATAATGAATTCAAACTTCACACTCACAGACCTTGCCTAGGCATAAATATTAACTGAAAATTTGTCCACATACTCAAAATATCTTACATGGTTGGTTTAAAATCACAAGGTTCCGGGACACCAGGAACTTCAAAGCACTAGAAACAAGAGACCTAATAAAATTTGCATAGAACAAAGTGTGATAAGCAAGCATAACTCCTCCAAAGTTCAACATCAGCATTCAAAGGGATGAGCTACAGACAAATCTCGCACATGCTTGATGTCCTCAAGGTTGCGGAGACATGTATTGTTTTTGAAAACAAACCGAGCACCTCTAGATGCCCTTTTCCCAAGCTGAAGCAAACGATGCTGCCTCTGAATGAACCCTTTACCGCAGAGGCCTCGAGTCTCAAATCTAAATAACTCTAACATTTTAGCATTCAACACAAAGAACGTGGCAAAGTTAACATCTGACATGACGCCTTGATAATTTTCCAACACTATTGTCTTGAGACGGATGTCAAGGCATCTGATGTGACTCTTGTGTTTACGACGCCACAAATTCTTTCCCATCGACTGAATTTGCTGAAAATGTTAAGACATAAGTTAATTCAACAAGTAGCTTAACAATTAACACTACACATCACAAGTGAACAGCTACCTGGATATACAACTTCTCCAAGCAGGGAAAGCAACTCATGAGATCAATGACCATATCCACGTTAGAAGCATAAACAAAGATAGATAAAGTCTTGACAGTGTGTACCACGGTTGGGAACAGAGTAGGCAATCCCTTCATGAAGAATAGAACATCACATCAGGCCATATAAAGATGCAGATAAGTCATAAGGTAGAGATATCTTCTACTCCCTCCGTCCCACTAGTGTAAAAGACACTCTTATATTATGAGACGGAGGGAGTAGATACCTTTTTTATATAATGCAGATAATATGAAATTTGTCTGCTCACACAAATGCAGGTTAGATGTGAAGGTGGAAGCTACCTGAAAGTCGTGGTAGTGGTAGTGATGTTGATGGTAAGGAAGGCAACCCAAGGTCTCCAGTTTGGGCGCTGATATTAACAATATATGCAATTCCCTAAGTAGGTCAAGTTGGAGCAACCTTTCAAGACAAGGGGCATCCTCAATCATGATTTTCACTAACTGGTGTCGGTATCCAACACGCACGCCAATGGTTCTAAGGTTTGGGGAGCTGATCCGAATGCAGCTGAAGCCAATGCTCCTGCTAATAAGCATGGTTCCAGGACGGGGCAGGCAGCCACGAAGCTGTACAGTGAGCCTTCCGAGATGCTGACCCCTTCAAGCGCGAGCTGCTTCAGCTGGGGGAAGTGAAGCGTCTCTGATATACCGTCGGGGAGGCGGAATTGGCTGAATGTGGCCACACGGAGGCTGGATGAGAAACGGAAGGTGGACGCTGTCGCCGCCGGCAGTACTGATAGATAACGGCCGCAGCAGAGCTCAAGCTCCTGGAGGTTGCTGAGGCCAGCAGACCGGAGCCAGGCATCCACGGTGGCAGGGTAGTGGTAGAGGTGGCGCGCGGAGATGCACAAGCGGAGCCAGCGTGGGAGGAGAGGATCTGGGAAATGAGGCGTACCAGAACGTCACCTTCGGTGGGGAGGCCCTGGTAGTCGAGATTGAGAGGAGCGGAGCGCCAGAGGTGGCGCCACCGGGAGGCGAGGATTTGGGTGCGGGCACCCTCCCTGGTGGGGAGGAGGGAGATGATGTCGCCGAGGACGGCGTCGGGCAGCCCGCTGATGTGGTCGACGCCGTCTTCTGCTCCTCCAGCTCCAGGCGGTGGTTCACGGATGTCGGATTCGGGCGCCTCCATGGCCGCCGCCGCCGGCTCGTGGCTCGAGATTTCCTCCGGTTGGTTGCTTCCGGGCACCTCCGACCTCCTCTTCTTGGGAAGAGGAGTCGCCGCCTCCATCTCTTTGGCCGGTGGCTGCGCGGCGCAGGCGCAGTTGCGCAGAGGAGGCAGGCTCACTAGCGCCGCCGCAGTCTCTCGGACATTCTTTTAGAGCAGTTGGTATGGTGAGGGTTTGAGGCTTGAGACGGAAGGGCTCCTAGTTTATTTCGTGTCTGCTTTGAGGGGATTTTTTTTCTTTAGGCCCGGTTGGATTATTGTTTATTTCCTAAGCCTGGATTTTACTGGTCCCCAACGAAATACATTCCATAAGTGGTATTTGCAAAACGGATGGGCTGAGGAGTGTATCAGCAACCAACCCACTACAGATGTATTAAGGGATACAGGCGCAATAATTACGTTCCGGAAACAACATTCCAATCGCGCGGACCGCTCGTCCATCGTTTTTTTAACGAAGGTGTATTTTACAAGTGTAACCAGCTGGAAAACGACGTTCCAAACGCGGCCTTAGAAGAATCCGATCTATCATAAAAGTTCACCACATAGAGAGCACCATCAAACATTATTATAGAAAAAATACATCAAGGTCTCTGGACTACTGGAAGATCTTTATTGTATAGAACAAGTTGTCGACCCTTCGATCCTCTTTTGGAGTCGGCTTGACTTTGTTGATGATAGCAGAAAAGTTTTTGTGCACATGACTAGCCGCAGTCGTCATTCGACCCTCGAATCGATTCATATGTTGATGTGCTTTCGTAGCTGCATTTTCTTGTGTTGCAAGAAATGTGTCGCTCATATGCTAATGGAATATTGTCTGCAATGATTCTACCGGGCACAATGGCCTTATAGATTTTGTTACCATCAAAGAAAACTACTTAAATATAACACATAATTTCAATTCTAAAGTTACTCGACACACATAAGGTCCGGTGGGCAATTGGTAGAATAAACTTGAGTCACTAGGTGATAATTTCTGATACAGTTTTATATACCACACCACAAAGAATTATAGGTCTTGGATCCTTGATCTTCTTCTTTTTTTTTTGCTTTGTGGATTGTAAAGATAGTAGTGTTGTTCCATCCCAACATCATTTGACCACCCTTTAAGGCCTCCTTGATTTTTAGGATACTCGCAAGTCGCAACGCGGGAATAGAAAAGCATGTCATCTTTACAAGATTAGGCCTCCTTTGGTTTAGAGGAATTTTGTAGGAATTTCATAGGATAGGATTACTATAGGAAAAATTCCCTTAGAGCCCTTTGTTTTGTAGGAATGAAATCCTATTTCTTTGGAGGAATTCTTCTATCCTCCACATTTCATAGGAAAATAAAAATTAGCCTAGACTCAATGGAAAAAAATCCTATGATGTGAATCAAAGTGCATCTTCTTTCCTATTCCTACTCATAGGATTTGAGATGCATGTCATCTCATTTCCTATGACTTTTATATTCCTACGATTTTCTTACCCTATGAACCAAAGGAGGCCTTAGCATGTATGTTCATTGTGCGTAGGGAGGAGAACGTAGGACTCTTCACATTATGTTGTGGATGAAAAAAGATATGGAAACTAATGCAAATGAATTCCAAGAAAAAACCTATATTTGATAATAATCATACGAACCAGACGACCCGCCTAGAAAAAATTCCTGAGGATTAGAATCCTACAAAAATCCTTTCAAAATCCTTTGAATCAAAGAGGCACTTAGAACATTTAGATCACCTTCTCACCAACACTTTTTGTACAATAAAGCCCCGGTCTCCCCAAATCTCCCATTGCATCAAGGGCATTGTCGGGTGGTAGGTGCGACATATGCCAACGGATGGCTTATCATTGTGGGAGCTAGTAAGACATCGCGGTGCCTGGAAGCGGGATGAGGCGAAGACATGCACGCCGGCGAATCTTACCCAGCTTCAGGGCTCTCCGTGAAGATAACACCCCTACTGCTGCTCTGCGGGGTCTCCGCATGATCACTAAATCAACAAGTAGCTACAAGATGCTCCTTGAGCTGTTCGGTGGCAGGAGGAAGAAGGGCAAGGCTAGCTCTCTCCTCTCCCGATGGTGGTGTCTAAAACTCTCAGAGATTCACCCTTTGTATGGGTGTCCCGGGGGGTTTATATAGGCCTACCCCCCGGGGGTACAATGGTAATCCGGCTGGGCACGGGCCCAGGACGTCAGTGTCTACAACCGCCGTCTTCTCCGCCGGCTTCTGGGGCCCGCCGACTGGTGGGTCCCGCCGGCTGTCGGCCCGTTGGTCAGCAGGCCAGCCCCACCGCATGGGGGATCTTGTTGGGGGCTGGTTACTGTGGCCTCGCCTCTGATGACGAGGGCTTTGTTGAGGTAAGCATGGCTACAGTGCCGCCGCCTTGCGGGCTCCCACTGTAGCCATACCGCGTCTCATCTGCTTAATGGTGCGCGTGCCCCGAGGGGAGCAAGCCGGCTACTGGAAGCCGGCCCGGCCTTGGGCCGGCTGGGGGAGGCCAGGCCGCCTTCGGATGTCTCTCTGACCGAAGGGGCCCGCCGCCTGCGGGCCGTACTGGCATCCCGTCGTGGATGGCGTCATGATTCTCATGGAAACAGTGCCACGCTGGACGGGGGATGGACGCCCCGTACGGCGTACTGTGGCCATGTAACTTCCGGGATTCGGGGGTGGCAGGGTTTGTTGTAGCCACGCCCCGTCCCGTCACCGTTATGGGTGATGGTCTTTAGAATGCGGCGCTCGGCCGCCTGCTTCTTGGAGTCGGCCCTTCGCGGGCCGCCTTCTGGGAGTCGGTCCTTCATGGGTCGTCTTCTTGGAGTCGATCCTTCATGGGCCGGCTTCTCGGAGTCGGCCCGATCGTGGCGCCCTCCAAAGGTTGTTTTATGGCCGGGCCGCCTTCCGCCAGCCGGCTTAGGCGATAGCCGGCCGGAGGAAGGCGGCCCCACGTCTTAGGTGCTTCAAGGTCCGATCGGCCCGTTGTTTTTTCTGATGGCCAAAGGGAGCTGGTTAGGCTACCCGTGGTCATTTACTCCGACAGTAGTCCCCGAAGCTGGTTGGGCTTCGCGGCTTGAGGGGAAATCGAGAAGCTCGGCCAGCTTCCTATCCCGAGCAGCCGGCAGCTAGGAGCCGGCCCTTCTTGCGCGTGCCTTCTCGACGAAGCTTCCTCAAAATTCGAAGGCGGGAACCAGTAAGCGCGCCAGCCAAGCGGCGGGCTGACCGCCCGCTTTTCGCGCGCCATGTGGCACCCTTCGGCTGGCAAGGCCTGCCAGCCCACGCGCGTG